TAAGGAAAGGTTGGGAGGTTTTCAGGATGAAGACACAAAGCCAGGAAAATTCACAATAAACCCCAGGAGGACTCGCCACAGTCGGGAGCAAGCTCTGTTCCCAGGCTGGACAGCGGCTGTCAGTTGGCAGGCAATGTGAGCCCGAGGTCTTGCAGACCACGGAAAATCCATAAACAGTTCAGGACAAAGACTTGCAGAGTTGTCTCTTGCTCCACGCAGGGAGCCATGCTGAGAAGTTTTGGCTGTGGGTCCTTTGCCACTTGATTTCAGCTGAGGAAGGCACATGGGGACTACGAGATAGGAAAAATACACTGTTCAGATGTGGGGCTTAGGAATAGAGCTCTCGGTTCAACTTTGCTCCTGCCAAGGAGCCCCTGGGTTTATCATTAGCCTTGTTTTATTTTATTTTTATTTTTATTTTAGAATTTTACTTTATTTATTGAGACAGAGTCTCACTCTGTTGCCCAGACTGGAGTGCAGTGGCATGATCTCAGCTCACTGCAACCTCTGCCTCCCGGGTTCAAGCAATTCTCCTGCCTCAGCTTCCTGAGTAGCTGAGACTACAGGCATGTGCCACCATGCCTGGCTAATTTTTTATTTTCGGTAGAGACAGGGTTTTACCATGTTGGTCAGGCTGGTCTTGAACTCCTGACCTCAGGTGATCTGCCCGCCTCTGTCTCCCAAAGTGCCGGGATTATAGGCATGAGCCACCGTGCCTAGCCATATTTAAAAAAAATTTTTTTGAGATGGAGTCTCACTCTGTCGCCCAGGCTGGAGTGCAGTGGCGTGATCTCAGCTCACTGCAACCTCTGCCTCCTGGGTTCAAGCAATTCTCATGCCTCAGCTTCCCAAGTAGCTGGAACTACAGGCGCACATTTTCATGCCTGGCTAATTTTTGTATGTTTCTACTAAACATACAAAACATCTCTACTAGATGAGGTTTCACTATGTTGGTCAGGATGGTCTCAAAGTCCTGACCTCAAGTGATCCGCCCACCTCAGCCTCCCAAAGAGTTGGGATTACAAGCGTGAGCCACCATGCCTGGCCTAGGACTGTTTTATTTTTAACTTAATTATTTTGCCTTTGGGTCTCTGAGGCTAATCTCTCTGATGTTCCATCTCTCTGGTGTTCCTACCCAGATCCTCTTTCTCTGAGAATTTGTTTTCATGAGAAACATCCCCTCCTTCATATGTCACCTGCATCCTGCTGTTAGCCTACCAGCCTCCCCTTCTAATCCTGGGGAAGCTGACTTGACCCAGACTTGAGGCCACCCAGCTCCGCCTTCCATCCATGTTGGAAGATGTATAAAAACTGGATGCATGGCTGGAAGGCCATTTTCCCTCACTATTCCAGTTGATAAACACCCATTATGTGGTACTAAATCTGAGAAAATTCCTAGTAATAACAGAGTTTTTAATTAAAAAAAAACAACAACAAAAAAACAGTAAGGGACATTATTACCATGATAATTCCTTTCAGAATATTTGCCTCCCTGCAAAACTTGGAAGTAGAAAAAAATTCCTTTGACAATGCTTCTTTAAGATGCGAATGACTTACTTCCTTTTCCTCACTGTGAAAATTTAAGCCTTCAACCAGACTTTAAAAACTAGAGTAGCTGACTCTATGTACCATCTTTTTTTTTTTTTTTTTTTTAAGACAGAGTCTTTTTCTGTTGCCCAGACTGGAGCAGTGGTGTGATCTCGACTCTGCAGTCTCTGCCTCCTGGGTTCAAGTGATTCTCTTCAGCCTCTCAAACAGCTAGGATTACAGGCATGCACCACCACGCCTGGCTAATTTTTTTATTTTTAGTAGAGACAGGGTTTCACCTTTTTGGCCATGCTGGTCTCAAACTCCTGACCTCAAGTGATCCCTCTACCTCAGCCTCCTAAAGTGCTGGGATTATAGGCATCAGCCACTGCACCTGGCTCCATGTATGGTCTTATCTCATTTGTAGAGCCAAAGACAGCAGATTAGTTGTATGAAAGCTCATGCTCCAAGGCTAAACTAACCTAGAATTGAGTCCTAGATCTGACACTTGCTAGCTCTGAGTTTGTACAGACCACTGGCTCTCACTAATCCTCAGTGTCAGTTGTAAAATGGGGATATTAATAGTTGTGAGGATTTCATGAGATTGTGGCTATCTATATACAGGTTGGCAGGATGCTGGGCTCATGTAAATATTCCTGCCAATATCCGTATGTCTGTCACCATTATTACAAGTCAATATCCACATTGCTGCCATCATGATTACTTCTTTACTCTCAAAGATGTTACTTCCTAGCCAGGGCCAGCTGGTCTAATCTCTACCCTCTTTGCCTTCCTTTTGATGAGAAAAGGGGCATGGGGGAGCCTGCCTGCTCCAGCTGTACTTTGCAAAAGGGCCATTAGATGGGGCCCTGCCACAACCACTCAAGTCAGCAAGTGGCTCTCACTCTGGACTTTGAAACAGGGGAAAAGGTATGAGAAGACTACTGAATTCTGTGAGTATTGCTCAGATTGATCAAATGAACCCATTGGCTCTGGTGTAAGAGGTGACCCAGGGGCCTGGTGTGGTGGCTCATGCCTGTAATCCCAGCACTTTGGGAGGGTGAGGCAAGAGGATCACTTGAGCCCAGGAGTTGGAGACCAGCCTGGGCAACATGGCAAAACCCCACCTCTATACAAAAAATACCAAAATTAGCTGGGCGTGGTGGTGTGCACCTGCAGTTCCAGTTACTTGAGAGGCTGAGGTGGGAGGATCACCTGAGCCCAGGAGGTCGAGGTTGCAGTGAACTGAGATCATACCACTGTACTCTAACCTGGGTGACAGAGCAAGACTCTCTCTCTCTCTCTCTCACACACACACACACACACACACACACACACACACTCCTGAGGTTAGTGGTCACTTGTACAATGACTGGCACTTTTCCGGGGCCCTCCTCCTCCAGGCTCATGCTTTCCAGCCACACACCTCACTGATGATCAGTGATGACTGCTATTATTTACAGACCACCTGACCCCTGGCTTCATGAACGCCATGGACCATGCCCAGGACTCCACCTTGCCCTAGCTTATATCCACATCTTCGTGATTTCAGGGTCCACATGGGCAGCCCGTCAACACTACAGGCCCAGCCTCCAAATTCCTTTTCTTTTCCTTCTCCTCTAATGACCTTCACCTCCATTCCACCTCTAACCACTTCCCTTCAAGCTCCACGGGCTCTTGAATCTCCTGGAATTACTCCACTTCTGAAATCTGAAAGCTATAGTTACTTTTGCTCCAGCCCCAACCTGTATTCTCCGACTCTCACTCCCAGGACGCTTTCTCCTTGACCTCCCTGAACCCTCCAATCCCCAAGAGTCTCTGTTGGACTCCAAAGCTCATTTTGACCTTCACTTACTCAATTTTTCCATACTCTGCTGAACCTACCCTGAAGACAAATCCTGAATCAATTCAACCATTTCCTGTGCTCCTACACGCAGGCTGCAAAGCACAGCTGGGGAAACAACACAATTATTAGACCGATGGCACCACTCAACATTTCACCACACTGCCAAGACTTTCGAGCGATGCTGTGACTCTTCTCATCCATTTCCCATAAAGGTTATCTTTGACCTTTACGATCCTCCTTCAGCCCTCTTTCCTGACCCCTTCCTTTACAGGAGATGACCTTTCTTCCCATATTACTGGAAACCAGAGGCCTTCAGGCATGTGCTCGTCACTTTCTGCCCCTTCTACCCCTGTTTTCCCATCTGCTTCAGAGGTTCATGAAGCCCATTCACTTTTAGCTTCCAGGAGCAGGCTCTTCCTCGTGTTTTCTTTCTTTTTGAAACAGGATCTTGCTCTGTCACCCAGGCTAGAATGTAGTGGCACAATCATGGCTCACTGCAGCCTCAACCTCTTGGGCTCAAGTGATCCTCCCCACCTCAGCCTCCCAAGTAGCTGTGACTACAGGTGAGCGCCACTATGCTTGCCTAATTTTTAAATTTTTTGGTAGTGACGGGTCTCACTATGTTGCGTGGGCTGGTCTTGAGCTCGTGGGCTCAAATGATCTCCTTCCCCAGCCTCCCACTGTGCTGGGATTACAGGCATGGGCCACCCTGTGCCCAGCTGCTCTTCCTCTGGTAACTCCAAACCTTCACTGGCTACCAGCTCCTTCCTTAGTATTTCACAGTGGAGTTAATGTATAACGTTGTATCATTTGATGGGCCCACGTTTGTTTCTTGTGTCCCATGCCTTGTCCTGGGTTTTAGAATCTATCCTTTCATTGACTTGCAACTGTTGTTGCTAATCAGAAGCCCACAATTAGGATGAGGCTTGTTCCTTTGTATGTGTTGTCTTTCCTCTAAAGGAGCTCTTTTAAAAAATCTTTGATAATCTGTAGTTTCATGACAATGTATCCAGGTATAGATTTATTTTTGTTAATCCCTTAGGATTTAGAGAGATATTACAGGGTAGCCAGGCTGCTTGGGGCCAAATCCCACCACCCAGTTGTGTGATCTTGGGCGAATTATACACATTCTCTCTTTTCCAGTTTATTCACATGCAAATTTCTCTTATCCCAGGGATATTAATTAATGAGTTAATGCATAGAAAGCATATAGAATATTGTGCTTGCTTCGGCAGCACATATACTAAAATTGGAACGATACAGAGAAGATGAGCATGGCCCCTGCGCAAGAATGACACACAAATTCGTGAAGAGTTCCATATTTTTCAGTGGGGGGTGGGGAGTTGAGGAGGGATAACATGGGGAGAAATGCCAGATACAGGTGATGGGGAGGAAGGCAGCAAACCACACTGCCATGTATGTACCTATGCAACAATCTTGCATGTTCTTCATATGTACCCCAAAACCTAAAATGCAATTATATATGTGTGTGTGTGTGTGTGTGTGTGTGTGTGTATGTGTGTATATATATATGTGTGTGTGTATATATCTATATATATGTGTGTGTGTGTGTGTGTGTGTGTGTGTGTGTGTGTGTATCTATATCTATATCTATATATAGGGTTTTTTAAAAAAGAAAGCATATAGAATATTGCCTGGAACATAAGGGCTAAGTAAGATGTTTACCATTACTGTTATTACTCAAATATACTTTGATGTAAGAATTTGTGTCTCTCTTCAATTCTAGAAAATTCTCAGCCTTTATTGTTTCAAGTATTGCTTTTCTGCCATTTCTCTATTGTATGGCTGGTGCAAAAGTAATTGGATTAAAAGTAATGGCAAAAACCATAATTACTTTTGCACCAACCTAGTATTTTTCTGCTCCTATGAGTTAACCACGTGGCAACTCATTCTTTCCCAATTTAATTATTTATTATAAACATTCTTTATATTTCTGTGCTATGAAATGGATTGTATTTCACAATACTATTAATATCTTCCAATTCACTAATTATCTCCTCAGCTGTATCTAGCCTAGTTTATCTTATCCGCTCAGATTTCAATGATTCAGTCCCCAAGTTTTCAAACTGGTTCTTTTTCAAACCTTGTGTTCTTATTTCTTTTTTGTTTCCTAACTTCTTATTCTTTTAAAATGAACATTATTTGTTTACTTTCCCGTCTGAGCAGCCCAACTATACTATTTTAATCAGGTCTATCTATGAAGTTATTTTCTTTGGCAGTGAATTTACATTCTGACTGTTGATACCTTGGCTGTCCTTATTAGCTTTGATTTGTGGGGTTGTTTTGAGGGGGCGGCTTTGCTGTTATTGTTGCTATTGCTGCTCTGTTTATTTCCACCTCCACTCCCTGACTCCTCACACCAATCTCCAGGTTTTACAGATGCCTCCCAAAAGCAAAGCTAGTGCCGTAAGCCACTGTCATGAAACTAATCTTAGTTTATTTCATAAGGGATTCTTTTCAGGTTCCTTTCACCTGAAAGAATGAAAAGAGGGTGGGGGGGCCCTACGTCAGCCTCTTTTTTCCAACAGTGAGCCTGGCTGTGGTCCCCCCGTTTGCATTGAGTACTTTTAGTCCTATTGGCATAAAAGACCTACATCAATACCTGCCTGCCCCCCAGACCCGGAGTCCACCCAATCCAGGCTACCCTCATCCTTTCGAGGTTTTGATCCACGAGTCCAGCTATATCACTTTGACTTTCTCTCTTTGTATTTTATCTGCCGCTGCTCTGCATTTGGAACAGAGAAGATGCATCAGAACATGAACTTTTCCACAGAGATGAGAAATCTTGCGACAGCTTCTCCCTTCCACTCTGAGTCTCCTTCTGATCCGATTCTTTTCCTTCCTTCCATAGCCAAGCATAAAGGATACTACAAACTGGCTTCTACCTCCACCATGTCACTTGTTTTCATGGTGAAAATGAGTCACCAGTGACCTTATCACTCATTCCCACAGGACCTTTTCAGTTCTGTGTTCCTGAAACTCTGTTGCTGTTATTGGTGACAGTTTCTTCCTTATTTTTCTCACTTTCCTGGGACTTTGTGACTCCCAAGCATCCCGATCCTCCTTCTAGCTCTCAGAGCATTCCTTTCTCATCCATCTTTATGGGATGCTCTTCCATTTCCTTCCCGTTAAATGTCAATATTCCCCCAGGTTCCATCCTTGCCCTTCTTTTCATTTTATCCCTCAAGTATCCTTTGGTAATATCCTCCGTTATTATGCTTTCAAAACTACCTTTATGACTACTGAATCTGTATTTGCAGGCCTCAGCTTTGGATGTATATACCAAATGTCCTACTTGTTATTTCACTAAGTTTTCCATGAGTACTTCAAACTCAACTGGACAAAAGCTGACCTCATCAACCTTGCCTGTCTCAGTCTGTTTGGGCTGCTATTTGAAAATGCCATATACTGGGTAGAGTGTGAACAAAAGAAATTTATTTCTTGGCTGAGCCGCCACGCCTGGGCAGATAGCATAATCTAGTTGTGTCCTCACATGGTAGAAGGGACAAGGGGTCTAGCTGGGGACCTTAAGACCTAAGCACCTTCAAAGGCCCCTCTAATGCTATCACCTGGCAGGGGCGCTTAGGATTTTAACATAGGAATTTGCGGGTGAGGGGCACCATAGCATCTCCTAAACTACTTTAAAAAAACTCCTTGTCTTAGTTGGTGGCACCAACACCCATTTGTGACAAAAACCTGAATTATCCCAGTCCCCTGAGCCAATTGCTCCATCCCAACTAGGCACCAATCTTTCTCTCTCTTCCTAATTCTCTCCTCTCTGTTTCAACTGTCACTGCTTTAAATCTTCAGGTGCATTCTCTACCATCTGATCTACTGCAAAAATCTGTGTTCTCTACCAGTCTCTCCCTGCATCACGATCCTGTCTTTCCATCCTGACCCTCTAGCGCTTGTCCTCCGTCCGTGGAGCCTATCATATTGTCTTGACCTATTGCGTTGTCTTGACCTATCATCACATCGTCTTGACCCATCATCGCACTGTCTTGACCTGTCATCACACTGTCTTGACCTATCATCCCACTGTCTAGACCTGTCATCGCACTGTCTTGACCTGTCATCGCATTGTCTTGACCTATCATCGCACTGTCTAGACCTATCGCACTGTCTTGCCCTATCCCACTGTCTAGACCTATCATCACACCGTCTTGACCTATCATCGCACCGTCTTGACCTATCATCGCACCGTCTTGACCTATCAACGCACCGTCTTGACCTATCAACGCACCGTCTTGACCTATCATCGCGTCGTCTTGACCTATCATCGCGTCGTCT